CGCGCGCGCGCAACGGCTGAGAGTCTCAGTCTCTCTCTCGCGCAACGGCTCACAGTCTCCTGAGCCCTCCTCCACTCAACGTGGCTCGTTGCCACCCGATCTGAAAATCTCACGGCCGTAGTAGGCCTTTTTTTTTGTTTTTTCAAAAATAAATAAATAATAAATTCCGATCGAAAAAAAAATAAAAAAAATGGGCAGGTGCCCCTTTACAGTCCCCACACGTCTATAAAAAAAAAAGTACTCCGTGAACTACCGGCGTTCACATTTTTCGTGAACAGTGGCCGGCCCCCGTTCACAACCCCGGTGAACGGTGAACGGGGGTACGGCACTGCCCTCCACCACCCCTCTCGTCGTCTTCTGCCTTGTGTCGAATAGGGCGACATCCCCGGTCTGGTTCAAGCCCCCGTAAGGAACTACAATCCACGTACGCGGAGCGTAACCGTTGTCCCCAAACAGGCAACCTGTAGTTGTGACACCACCTGGCAGGGAGACCACGTCAGCGTTGAAAATGTCCCCTGCTTCGGCACGTTCGAAGAGAGACGAGTTCCGCAAAACGCGCGCATCGTGGACGCTCCCGGGGTAACCGGCGAAGACGTCCAGCACGCGCATATCCAAGTCCACGACAACCTGCGCCACCACAGAGAATTGCTGTTTGCGATCGAAGTAGTTCTCGGATGGCGCGTTTGCAGGTTTATCGACATAAATGTGCATGCAATCGATTGCACCCATGCAATTGGGGAAGCCCTTTCCCGCAAAAGCGCGCAGAATTCGGAGAAGACATCTGCCTGTCGGCATGGCGATCTTGTCCGGGTAGGCTGCCAAATGGGGCTTGTCAAGTCCCTCACCACGTTGATGCCAGTCGCCCTTCCAATGTCGAACGCTGACGTGCTGTTCTCGTAAGTCTCAGTCGTCGCCCACCTATACAGCGCGTACGCGACTATGTGGTCCGGCTGGAGCGGCCCGCGGTAGTGGGTTAGTTGACGTTGAAGGAAAGGAGCGCAGGCGGTGACGATGTCATTGAAGATGGTCCTCGACATGCGCAGCTTGTCATGATAATAGTCCGCTGTCGGATCGTCTGAGATGACGAGGTCACTCCATGTGCCGCCTGTCCTGCGCTTCACCCACCATCGCGGAGTCTCTCTCGGCAGCACCCCTGTGGTGATGGCATTGCTGAGGAGGAATGACGCGTCCCAAACACCCGGTGAGGAATGCACATCCAACAGCGCCTGCCCAATGGCCGCCTCCCTACTCACCTTCTGTCTGGCAAAACCCTGCCGCACACTGTTCACCGTCTGAAGATGGCGGCACACCGCGACCAATGATGCCGCCAACAAACTCTTCTCCTGGACTGTCAGTTCCCTTCCCTCCCGTCCCTCCGCCCCCGTGTGCTCCATTGTTGACGAACACCGACTGCTGTGTCTCCGCTCCCGTGCGCCACATGTTGCGGTTGTCGTCGCTCACAACGATGGCCGTCCTACCGTCGCTCACTCCACAAGGGCATGGACACCACGACCGCAGCTGTTATGTAGGATATGGGGCACGCTTGTTTTTTTGCT